GTGTGTGTGTGTGTGTGTGTGTGTGTGTGGTCCCTGGTCATCTCTCTAATGATCCTCCAGCCCCATTAGAACCCTTGTTAACGAGATAAATGAACCTGACTCATCATTGCCTGAATAAAAAAACACCAGGACCCCTGCCAGCCTTCCAGCACCTGTGTATTAAACCTCTGCTAACAGAGGAGCTCTAAACTCATCTAATCTGAATTGAAAAAAACATTTCTTCATTTTCTTCATTCATATTATTTCATTCACTGTGGAGTACAGTTAGTACAGCCTGTTGTATCTGCTCGGTATTTTCAAGCATTTTACTCCACTCGCACATTTGTCTTCTTGAATTACTCATGGTATTATCCTGCAACCCCCCCTACCCTACCATTTTTCTACAGCTTGCCATGAAGCACAAGTGTTAGACCACTGCCAAATCCACCTGGGCTGGGTGGGGTTTCACCTATCGCCAGGCGCTGTACAGAAGAAGGATTCCAGATTTTATTCTTTTTAAAAATTTTAATATTATTACTATTTGTTAACAATGTTAACATTTTAATGTTTTTGGGTTATTGTGTTCTGGTGTTTCTTCTGGCGACGATGCATCGATCGGAGGGCGGGACGAGACGTGTACAAATCTACTTCAGACGGTCAACACAACGTTTCATGCTTTTGTTTTGCCAAAAAAAGGTTCAAACTTTATTTGATAACCACAGTCACCCCAAACACCCCCCTCCTGTTTACAAGTGCTCAGACACTGATGTGTGTTCACGTGCTGCCAAGTCATTAACACTTCATGACGAAGAATAGCTTTTCTTTTCAGATCATCAAATGTTAAGAGTTATTTATGAGCTCTGCTTTGATTAAGCAGTAGATTTTTGAGTGTGAAGGATCCTCTCATGGAATCACAGGTTTGATTTAGGATTGTGTGCTGCTATTACCATACAGATACATAACACACATACCAGGTGATGGCCTACATTTTCTGATCTAATCTCTACTTCCGACCAGATAATTATTTTGGAAACAGATTATAAGAGCAACACGTCCGTCTGTTTCAATAAATCCTAAAGAGGTCATTTTCACAAAGCGTCTTATTGGACATTACACTCTCTCTCCTGGTCTGTTTTTCTGTCCATGATTTCAATTATATTACAGCAGTATTAGTCAAAATGTTTTCAAGATATTGATAAACTGCAGGTGACATTGAATAAGGTGTTTTTGTTGACATAATGTGTGACAACATTAAATATGTGGGTTTCTATTCGACTTGTCTGCCAAACAAAAACAACCAAAACCACATGGAATACACTTGCCAACATTTTTGGAAGTTGGCTTAAAGATCTCATTTAAAGATTAAGCTTTTTCATTATGATAATTTAAGTTAGATGTGGGGATTTCAGTAAACCAGCTTCTGCACTGTAAAAAGCAAAACCTGTAATTCTTCTCGTACTATTATCTCAGTGTCTGTAGAGCTAATACGTCCCATAAACTGGGGGCGTTTTGAAATTACTCCTGGCTGTATTTCAACTTTAAACATCTATTAGTCATCTCTTGTGCTTTTTGTATAATTTGGATTCTCATAATATTCATAATAATAATGTGTGTACTGATATATAAAGGACTAAATGTCCCAAATAGCAGCAGCAGTGTTTAATAGTTTATTTTTTTGTGCCGGCGTCACACTGCCTGTACCTTTGGCTTCCTCACTGGCAAGATATCACCCTCAAAAATGTATTTGATTCTTTTTTATATTTTGAATTTTATAATTCATGATGTTACAATACACTGACAACTTTTATCTTGCAGAGCACTGTTGAGTTCATAATGAAACGTTCCAGTTGCCTAACTCTTAGTGTGCTTTTATTCCTCTCTCTAACACTTTGGATGTTTATTGTTTTAATAAAAAATACATATAAAAATGACTTTATTATGCAGTGTCCTTCATTTTAAACCATCTGTAGCACTTCCGTCCAATGCTGGAATCAGAAGTACATGTGCTTTGTTGGGTATTCTTCAATGTTATTGTCGTATTTTTGTAAGTGTCACATTTTCTTTGTCTGTTTTCAACCAAAAGTTTTGGTTACACTAAAACGAAATGCTGAGTACTCTGTTCACACTACAGTATGAACATTTGTAAGTCAATGCATTGTCCTTGGATGTCATGGAAACACGAATATCTCTCTTTCTTTCTCTCTCTCTTAGTCTCTCTCTCGCTCTGGTAGTTGAGGTAAATACTGCCCTCATGTGGTGTTCTTCAACAATATTCTTTATTACAAGTAGTCTATAAACAAAGGACAGTGTACAAGACATGACAAATTATCGGGGCTTGGGGTTATGTCAGATAAAGGGTATTTTTTATAAAATAAATGACTATACAATAACACAACATAGCATTTTAATACAGTAGTAACAGTGAATTTAACTGACTACAAAATACAATTGTGATTTTTAATTGTATGAATGATCTTGCAGGTTCATAGAATTATAAATCCTATGTGGTCAAACAGGCTTTATTATGCAAATAATATACATAATATCTAGAATACTGATGTTTTACCTTTAACACATTTCTCTAATACATCTTTGAGGTATCAGTCTGTGAAATATGTTGAAGTACATCTATATAGTTTGCTCTCATAGCATTGATGGTATAGCACAAGTGATTAAACCATTACTTTACCATATAGGTCATTTTATTCCCTAATATGTCTGTGGCCCCCAAACTGCTGGATTCTCCAAATCCCATAATCCAAATCAACACTGCAGTATCTTTTTATCTTTTTTCCCTTAGACCCTCCATACATGGTAAAGACCCACATCTTTCAAACGCACTGGAGGCTTCCATTAAATATTTATACTTTTCAAACCCAAGCTGTGATAACCCTGTTGTTATTTCAGACTTCACACAGCTCATGTACAGCCACAGAGGATGGTATGAAAGTGTTTTCAGACTGAGTAATTCTCACCATGACGAGTAAACTGACCTTTATGCACAAAATCCATTTCCTTTTAAGGGAAAGTTTTTTCATGCAGACAAGGCATTATTATATATTAACACCATCCACAAATTCATATTTATATCCATAATTAAGATAGGCATAATCATATTTTGTAAAACATATAAAAGACATCGAGCGTTGGCACCAGTAGAAGAGCTGGTGCATGTATGTATCGGAGTCAAATGACCACAAATGAACCTTATCCAAACATCTGGGTTATCCTCTCCTCCCCTTGCCACCTCTTAGTGTTTTATAGGATTTTATTCTCCCAGTTAATGATGTGGACCAATCTGGCGAGCAGAATGGTAGTAAGCATAAAGCAGTGCTGATATATGTGATCTATAGCATTTAGAGCTGCAGAGCAGCAGGTAAGTACCTCATAAAAGCCTCTGTGCAGGACTCTGCTGCCATTACTCACACTGCCAGCTCCTGTGAATTATACCTCGCTTCTATAACCCACCTCTAATCGCTCAGCTCCCCGCTCTCTTTCCAGCCCTGCTCCAGCAGCACAGGGGCTCCACGTCTATTTGGTCCCAGCCCATGTTGTGAAACCTGAAGTGTACTTGTTTGCATGTTCATTGTGTACAAAGTAGATCCAAATTTAGATTCTGCAAACCACTGGAGGGAGCACTAGCTTTGTGTACAGACCTATCAACCCTCTGCTTTACTGCCCAGTGGTGTATTGATTAGTAGAACCGGTTATCAGTAATTTTGGTGTAATGTAAACATTGATTGCAGGTTGAAGGCGTGAATTAAGGGCGGATTGGGAGTCGCTCAATATCTGTAATTGGTACAGTGAATGTCTTGACAGGGACCTGAGTTACAGTGGGACAGAGCGAGCGTCAAGCAGGAGTCTGGAGGTAAACGTTCAATACACAGCTAATGTATCAAATCGGCAAAGAGTAAATCAGAGCGTGTCCTCTAACATATACTGAGTGTTATGTAAATTGTGTTATTGCTTTAAATAATGATGACCGACAACAAAGATTCAGTTCAGAAAAAACTAAATGTCAAATGAATCTTGCTACTTGCTGTGGGTAGTGAGCTAATACTAAAAACTTTGTTTCAGTCCACTTTCTTCCAGTGCTGGCCACAATGTAATATTAACATATTTCTTGTGTGACTGCAGACTGTAGAATTTGTCCAGGGAGGTTTCACCTTGAGAGGTGCATTGACATTCCTGTCAGCCGGGGAGTCTGTGTCACATCAGCAGAGGCTCAGTGGCTGCTGGAATAACTGACTGGACAACCAGCCTGAGGGCAGCTCCTTTTTTAATCTGCCAGCCTCCCCAAAGCTCCACAGGAGTAATTACAAGTTACACCCAGTGGTGAGAAGGCGGAATGAGTCGGGCCTGCAACTATATTTCTCATTATCGCATACAAATCTCTGCAGGGATTTCCAGAGTAGTCCTATTATTCAGGACAGGATTTTACCTCAAAGTCAAAGTTGAATTACTGCAGCAGGATATTTCCTTTGCCCCAAAGGTATTTTGGGAATTAGGATTCAGAGTAATGTGTCTGCACTGGAGTCGTACACAAACGGATTCCACGAACAGAAAGTGCTGCATAACTTTTGTACACGGTAAAGAACAGCTCTGCCTCAGTGTGGCTGTAAGTTTCTCTTCGGGAAATGGAATATATATATTTAAATGGTAAATATCTCTGTCTGTATTTATATAGCAGCTTAGAGCAACAAGACATGGAACCGTTTACGGTCTTGTTCGTGGACGACCCGCAGAAAAACAGATTTATTACCAAAGAGTGCTCTGGAATAAGGTTTTGCTTTCTTAACTGAGGCATAGACAAAAGGAGGCCAGCCATTTTTAATAGCCAGGTATTCCAAGGCACAGAACATTTAGCAAGTAATTACTCGTACGTCCACAAAGCCTTGTACTGGTCACATAAAAATGTCAACCCTGTAATCACTTTCCCCTCCAACAAGCACATGTACAGAAGATTTCCACTGTAATGGGAGTCCCATCCAGACTGTGACACCTTGGACATTTGGTAATTACTTTAGAAATGAAACGATTTCAAGAAGAAGTAGGAGCTGAATGTGTTGCCCACCTTAATTAATGGATGTAATCTGAGGTGCAGCCTGTGAGCCGGTCCAGGGGGACGAACTCGACAGACCTCCCACATGACACGCTCTACAATTCACTGCACCCTTTGTAATAAGGTGTTTAAACTGTCAGCTCTCTGCCCACTCTTTCGCTCTGCTCCACTCTTTTGCTAACTCAGCTGAATCGCTGCTTCCAACGCTTTACTGTGCTGTTCATAAAACATTTCATGAGTAAGTTCACCTGCAAAAACTTCCAGAAAGCCCCAGGGTGGCTCCGTGGAGGGAAATCTGATGTCATTATATTCCATTAATCTACGTGTCGACCTTTTGGTCTTCAACGTGTCTTTTGGGCCAGATGTTGATGTTTCTCTTTGCTGCATGCAGCTGGAACAGCTTCACTTCATAGTTTCAGTTGTGCAAACACACATCTCATGAGTGGACGTTACGAAGCTGGCTGCTGTTTTCCTACTGTGTTTAATGTTATGGTGTCTGTATACATGGTGCTGTCATGCACCTTTGTGTTTTTCTAATTCTGAATTTCTTCCGCTGGCTGTTGTTTTCTCCTTTGACTCTTTGTGTATATATATATGTATATATATATATAAAATGCAATTTTACATTTCACCAGAAAATACTTTAAAACATATACTAAACGCTTCTCTTCAGCTTTAATTTTGAAATGAGAAATCAAATGAAAAATCATTTTAATTTAGAGTGTTGGTTTTCAAAACAAGCTGAGGCCTATATGTTTGACTTTTTTCTGATCTTTTGCTTCCTAAAACTAATTCTGAGTGAAAATGATACATTTAAAAAAAAAACACCTTAATTCTTGATGAAAATAACAGATTCAGAAAAACAAGGCCTAACACAGATGAAAGGTTAAACACAGGAAGACCCTGACAGCTGCTTGATCTTGTGTAATGTAACAGTCACCTACACAGAGTAATGTCACCTCGTGGCACCAAGCAGGCACAGAGTCAGCAGATTCCTGCAGAGCTGAATGTGGAGCTGAATTCTGTCGGTTTTCACTGCTGCCATCCAGACCTGTGAATGAATAATGTTCCATGTAAACTCTACAAGTAAGTTTGTTGTTCGTCCGGGGCAGGAAAACCATAATATATCAACGGAGTGAATTAGTTGTAAGGAGGCAGAGGCTGACTGGTAGAGCTTGGGAAGTCACCTCAGCGCCCTGCCCACAGTGACTTGGCAGATGTGTAGCGAGGCGAAGTGCACAACAGCTGCTTGCTCTAAATCGGGATGCCCATCCTCCCCGTCCTCCCCTCTGCCTTTGAGTTCCTGTGGAGTGCAATGTCAGCCGTGCTGGAATCATCGTTTGTTACCCTGATATCTATCTGCCTCACATAGCACACTCTCACTCTTTACCTTGAGTTAGTTCTTCTGATGTGGAAGTGGGTCTGAATTTACAGACCTGTGCTCCTTCTGCACTCTGAGTGTTTATCTATGCTCGGTTTACTGTAGAGTGGTGTGTTATTCTGCATTGCACCAGGTAAAGATATAATATACTTAGCTGTACTTACTGAGGGGAAAGGGAAAACAAATTCAGCTTGAGGAAAATAAATACCATCTTACACTTCTGCTGAAAATGAGAAGACAAATACTTTTAGTAGACAAATGGGGGCGGAGTGAAGACATCTGCAGTGACCCACTTCCTTGTGGACGTTTTTATGCTTTAATGCCACAATGCAGTATACATACGCAGGATTATTGTTGTTACCAGGTACAGAACAATACAAATCCCAGTTTTTGTCTGAGAAACTGACAGAAAACAACTGCGGTGTAGACCACGCTGGACGGATTCTGCAGTAACACGCT